ATCTACAAAATCTCTTAAAATTTAATTTGATCTACTGGTTATAATATTATATCGATTTGTTTTTATCTGTTGTGTTTCTGCTTTTCGGGAAAATAAGTTGATGGTATTGAGGTTTTATAAAATAAAGACATTAATACGTGAATGTTTCTCTTACAAATAAATCAAACTTCTACTGTCCTTACTGCGATGAAAAATATATTGGGAGGTCTTAGCTCATCAGTGGTGAACCCTTCCAGAGGTTTCGCCAATTTAATCTACCAGACCACTTCTTTAGAGCTTTAATACTGTATTGGATCATATTGCTTTTATATTTTATTATCTTATTATCATTTTCAAAGCACGCGATATCCGTCTTGGATATTTGCATGCATACACAAGTTTGGGAGCTTATTTACAGTAATTATTGATATAATTTTAGTTATTATAATAGAAATTATTAACGTATTTGTCAGTTAGTTAACGATTTAATTACCCTATAATGAATATTAGTGAACATCACAGATAAGAACAGAAATTTAGAGCTATTTACAGCATATAACTATATACCAGTTATTACAGCCCAGGCTATCTATTACTAAAAAACATTCTACAAAATCTATTAAATTTTATATACATATATCTATTATTAACTATTTGATTTAGACAATTTATATTTATTTGATTTTTGACTCTCAAGTCCTCTACAAGTCGACAATCCGTTAGAATATGTACAGGGTTTTCTTCTTCTGCACCACATGAGCATTTAGGCGAATTCGTCTTTCTGACTTTGTACAAATATGATCTAAAGTTACCGTGTCCAGTTTGCTTTTATATGCTACACTGAATAATGGAATCTTAGAAATGGTATTTTAGCAAACTATTGGCGAAACCGCTGGGAGGGTTTACCACTGATGAGTCAAGCTCTTCCAATATATTTTCCACCACAGTAAGGACAGTAGAAGTTTGACTTATTTGTAAAAGAAACATTCGAGTCTTAATGTTTTCATTCGATGCATATAGATGGCGCGATATTGCTTTGTATTAACCCAGATACCTGGAGCATAGATCGCCAACTACCCAGGTTGTCCTGTGGTTTAGGAGTCTGTCTTCGCAGCCTTAGTGAACTAGTTCACCAAGTGTTCATTCGGGAAGGTTTATCTCTTTTTATATACATTCATAGACAAAACTTAAAGTGAATAGTCCTTGATGTCGCCGGTCGTCTATTTTTTTTTTTTTGAAGAAGAAGAAGACAGAGACAATTTTGTACACACTTGTTTATCTCGCGTGTCTTCAATAAAGATCACTGTAATATCTTTCAGAGTTATTGTCTGAATCCTGATATACATGTTAAAAGGTAGAACTTCCTTAGGTTTTGTCCATGAGTTTTTATATTATTCTTAACCATTTTTCGTTGTTTTAAAGCCTGTGGAAAAGCTTAGCACGAAAGCAAGTCTCAAGAATATAGTAAATAAACTTATTAATTTTAGCGTTGTGTATTGATTATTTGAATTCTTTATTTTTAACCTGTGTGTGTGTGTGTGTGTTTTGTGCGAAGTATTTTGATGAAATATTATCACGACAATTGACTTTCTATATAGTTAAATATAATAAATATTGATTAAATTGTTTTGAAATCTGACAACGCAGCGAAAACAGACGACGTTTGTACCTCGCCCTTATTTTCGTTAAACATTAACTCTATTTATACCCTAACTTTAATACAATTCTATTTTTATTGTATATTTTATCATATAAATTGAGAGAGAGAGAGAGGAAAAATATAATATTTTTTAAATAAATATTTAAAAATGTTTTTCCTTTAATTTAAATACATGGACAAAACTTAACGAAGTAGTATCTTTTAGCATATATATCGGGATTAAGACAATAACTATGAAAGTTATTTGATACACAGTGACCTATATTGAAGACACACGAGAAAACCAAGGGTGAATAAAATTGCCTCTGTTTACTTCGAAAAAACAAAGGATCGGCTACATCAAAGACCTTCCACTTCCTTAAGTTTTGTCTATGATTGTATATGTACATATTTACACAATAGCTTATGCGTGGTAAGGACAAAATACTCAGGAGATAAGTTTCTTCATTAATTTATTAGGACATCAAGCTTTCGGGCACAGCGTGGCCCTTCTACAGGATCCCTGTAGCTTATGGTCCTATTCCTGCTGTACCCCACAGAGCGTGCTAACACATGGGTGTTTGAGATGATGAAATTTTAATTTGTATATAATATACGATATAGCCATGGGGTGTAGGTATCTTTCAAAATTTGGTGTTTATTCATTTGGCCTGTTACCTCACAGGATGTGATTTCAAATGCTGGACAAGTACAGTAGTTTAGAAGTAAGAATTCTATATATAGATAAAGAATTCTTCCTGGATTGAAATTAGACGAAAAACATGGTGAAGGAAGACGAGTTTCTTTTATTGATGAATAGGTGCAAGCTTTCGGGTAAAAACCCTTTAACAGGCGAGCGCGACTGATAAGAACTGTTCTCATCAGTCGCGCTCGCCTGTTGAAGGGGTTTTACCCGAAAGCTTGTACCTTTTCATCAATAAAAGAAACTCGTCTTCCTTCACCGTGTTTTTCGTCTAAGAAATCTATATGTTGTTTCTCTTAAATCGACTTTTCATTTATGAATTTCTCTTCTGGGGATTTAATACTGCATTTACACGTATCATATATTTTCCCAATTCTTTGCGTATATACAGTAGAACCTCTCTTTAGCGGACACCTCTCCACAAAGGACAGTTTTCATTTGCAAAATTACCATTTTTACAATTTAGTAACTCTCCGGTAAAATGACACCTCTTCCTGAAGAGCAATTTGGCTCTGCAATTAGGTGTTGTCCTTTACAGGATGTTTCTACTGTAAGAGCTGTTTGTGTAAACATTATTTATTCTTTTTTTATATCTCTCAACCACTTAGGAAGATAATAAATATTTGCAACTCCGCCCTTGCCGGTCCCAAGCCCGGATGAAAAAGGAGGAGGGGGAAGAGTAACAAGCTCACTAAAAAACCTGGGCTCAGCTGGCCCGGCTGATAGTACCCTGTTAGGGCTCCTAATCCAGGGATACAGGATGAGCAGCGTTTGTACTCCTTGTTAGGAGCGGCTGCACATGGCGTCTGTTCCTCATGTCAGAGGCGGCTATTTCTTTTGGAGCTAAGTCGGCCTGCCACTGAGTAGTGCTCCCAGTCTTAATGACAAAGGCAGACGCATTCTACTTCACCCAGTGTGGAGATAAGAAAGAAGAAGAAGAAGAAGATAAATATTTGCATACTACGTGACATATTACATCTTTGATTACCAAGTACTCACAAGACGCCAACAAATCGCGACACTATCAAATGCTGACAGCCTGTTCTTCAAATCAAGAGGCTGTATTCAGATTCAGGATATCCCAGACATCTCATGCTAACCTCTCATAGCTGAATTAATAAATGGCCTTACGGATAATAAAGACATCTCCAACTGTAAAGGATTCCAGGACGCAGAATATTTGAAAGAAATGAAAGTTCTGATCTTATTTCTATAACGGCTACTCAATCCAACTCTCTTTCATATTCAATATGACTTTGAGAAAAGAATCTGGCAAAGAGAGAAAGAGCTAACAAAAACATTTAAAATGGTACCAAAGTGAAATTGTACTGTTCCATCAATAATTGACAATATGACCCAGAATAAGTATATTGCTACGGCGTTTTATGGTTTCCACAAGTCCGTATCTCAGAAGAAGGCCAAGTGACACTCACTCCTCACCCTCTTACTGCTACTCTTTTTGTGTTGTTTTTCTTGCTTCCCTCTTTCTCTTTCTTGTTTTTTTTTCTTCTGTATATATCGTTATTTCCTTTGTCTCACTGCTTTGTTCTTATGCATACCTCTGGTGAATCCTGTATAGGGTCAGTGACCCTAAATAAAGGCTTTTTGTTGTTGTTGTTGTTGAAATTGTACTGGTATCAGATAGATCAATTAAAGAAAAAAGACATCTACTAATCGGGCAATTAAATGTTTCTGATAGCTTGCCCCAATTTGTCAAAATAAATATAAACGATTTATTGATATTTATTCCGAGAGATAGCGCAAGCTATCAGCAACCTTATTTGTACGATGAAAAGATGCCCTTTTTTCTTAATTTATCGGCCTGTTTCCAGTAACATTTCCCTTTTGTACTATTTTAACTATTTTATTTTAATTCTCTCATTCGCCCAACGATTTTAAGTTGATCTTCGTGTGAAATTATATCTAAGAACATTAAAACTAATCAGAACATGATGTACACAAGTCAGGATCAAACAAGTTCCAGATCTAACTTGTCCATAAACATTTTCATTATCCCAAGTATAAATGGTTCAGACCATGTTAATCATGGTGGATAACAACTGATTTTACTGAAAGTACATTACTTGTCAGGATCAAACAATTTACAGATCCAACTTGTCTATAAACAATTTTATTATCCCAAGTATAAATGGTTTAGACCATGTTAATCATGGTGGGTAACAGATGATTTTACTGAAAGTGCATCACTAGTCAGGATCAAACAAGTTCCAGTTCCAACTTGTCTATAAACATTTTTATTATCCCAAGTATAAATGGTTCAGACCATGTTAATCATGGTGGATAGCAACTGATTTTACTGAAAGTGCATCACTTGTCAGGATCAAACAATTTCCAGTTCCAACTTGTCTATTACCATTTTTATTATCCCAAATATACATGGTTCAGATCATGTTAATCATGGTGGATAACAACTGATTTTACTGAAAGTACATCACTTGTGAGGATCAAACAATTTCCAGTTCCAACTTGTCCATAAAAATTTATTATCCCAAGTATAAATGGTTGTAAAACGACATTTGAAAATTATCCCGCATGTGTTTCTTTCGAACGGAAAATCCAAATTTATTTCAAGGAGAAATAACGATTATTTCTAACCTTTAGGGATGAGGTATGAAAGGATGAATTGTGAGGAGTAATGATAAACGTAAAAATAAAAGTGTCCAGGAATGGGAATCGAACCCACAGTGTTCCGCTTACCGGGCAGATGCCATGTCCACTAAGCTACCCTGGACATATTTTTCCGTTCGTAAATAATACATAAGGTAATTTATGATGCAATATAATATAATACGGCTTGTAATTGTAAAATCATGATGGGTAGCAGATGATTTTACTGAAGAGGCATCACTTGTCTACATATGTAGAAAGAAATGGGGTCAGCACCCAGTTAGGTTATTTGCACTCGAAGGTGGGGTAAGACTTTTGCAAGAGTTGGAGGCCCCATTAAACATCCTTCTTGTCCACATTGCCAAGAGCAAACCGTGGAGCATGACCTCTAGAACAGCCCAGTATTCCAACAGATTACTACATTCCTTGGACTGCCTTCTTTCAACACCATTTCTCTGTTATATACACTCATTGACAAAACTTAGAGAAGTTGTACCTTTTACCATGTATATCGGGATTCAGACAATATAACTCTGAAATATACACTCATGAACAAAAGGAAGTTGTACCTTTTAGTATGTATATCGGGATTCAGACAATAATTCTGAAAGATACACTCATGGAAAAAATTAAAGAAGTTGTATCTTTCAGCATGTATATCGGGATTCAGACAATAACTCTGAAAGATATTACAGTGACCTTTATTAAAGACACACGAGATAGCCAAATGTGAAAAAAATTGCCTCTAACTCCCTCAAAAAAAAAAAAAAAAAAACAGGTGCCAAAAACTTTCCATTTCATTAAGTTTTGTCTATGAGTGTATACCAAGAAACAACCCAGCCTGGAAACACTTGGTGTAATGGTTTACTAAATCTACCAAGACAGACTTCTAAACTACAGGTAGTTGGAGACCTATGGATACACTACAGGAATCTAGGTTACCTATGTATAGCTCTACTACTACAGATTTTGGATAGAATCCTTCCTATAGGAAAGGTAAACAGATCAACGATTCTTTTTTTTTTTTGCTTATCCCCAGTACACGTGGTACAGGCCATGATAATCATGATGGGTAGAAGTTGACAACTGCTTTTACTGTAAGTACACTACATGTTTACACAGGTGAAAAGCGCAGTTAGACTTAGACAACAATAAATAAAGATCGATTGATTGATAAACCCTGTACGATTTATAAATGAATAAAATAAAGCTTCTAGGGCTGCGTATCTTTTATTAGAACGAATATATTACAGGCTTTCGGGCACATACGCCCTTCTACAGGAATTAATGAAACAATAATTCCTGTAGAAGGGCGTATGTACCCGAAAGCTAGTAATATATTCGTTCTAATAAAAGATACGCAGCCCTCGAAGCTTTATTTTATTCATTAATAAATAAAGATATTTGCATAGAATAAATAGTTCAATGAAATGATCCCTTATATGAAAATTAAGGTGAAAATATTAGTATTCCGGGGATAAGTTTCTTTTAAAATATTTTAATTCACAAAACTCTAGCTTCCTGGTATAAAAGCCCTTCTACTTGTGAAAACACGCTAGAATAACTATATATATACTGGTGTTTAAAATTAAGGTAACAAACACTTAATGTTAGTTTCCTAAAAGAATATAGACTCGTTTTGAACAAAAAATTGTAGGGGGATAGACAAAGCTATAACGTGTATAACAAATAAAGTTCACAAAATAAATTTATTGTTCAAATTTCTTTTTACAATTATTCAAATTTATGTTAATTAGTCCAAAAGTCAGGTAGATGTTGACCAATATTTGATGATTTAATAGGATGTGTGGAGCCTCTAACAGCTAGACAGCTGTCACAACGACATTTCATGTTGTTTATTAGGCAATTAAATAACTCTTGAGGCAAAAATTCCCACTCTTCAACTAAAGCAGTTGTCAGTTCTTGGGTGGTCCTAGGTGGGGGTGAACGAGATCCAATTCGTCTCCCCATAGCTTCCCAAACATGTTCTATAGGATTGAGGTCTGGTGATCTGGCAGGCCACTCCATCCTTTGAATATCCTCACTTTCAAGATATTCGTTTATCATCAGGGCGCCATGAGGACGATCATTATCATCAATAAAGATGAACGAGGGTCCGACTCCACCCCTAAAAAAACCTTACATAGGGCTCCAGTATCTCGTCTCTGTATCGCTGAGAAGTCAGGGTGCTGCCATCAAACACATGTAGTGGCGTGCGTGCGTCTAACATGATACCACCCCAGACCATGACATCTTGGCCACCGTAACTGTTCCTTTCTCTGATGTTTGAGGGATGGTTTCGAGTCCCGGTTTCTCTCCAGATCGGTACACGTCTAGAATCCGCGTTAAGACTCAACCTTGATTCCTCACTAAAAAGAACAGGAGCCCACTGATTTTGGGTCCAAGACTGATATTGTCTGCACCAATTTAGACGAGCTCCTTTTTTGGATAGCAGTGAGAGGGATACAAACCTTCAGCCACCTTGCATACATCCCTCTCTTGTTGAGACTGCTGTAAACGGTTTTCCTTGATATCATGGTTCCTATGGCCGAAGAGAGCTCAATTGTTAACTGTCTGGCTGTCGTGGTTTTGTTACGTTTCGCTGTTAACTTCAGATGAGGCTACCTTGTCTTTCTCTTCTGAAGATGTATCCTGTTTCTTGAAATTCTTTCCATAAATTCGAAACCACGTTTCTTGACGTTGTGAGCCATCTTGCAACTTCTGCTTGGGACTTGCTTTCCTCTATTCTACCAATGTTCCTCCACTTCAATTAGTCTTCTAAACATCTACGACGTTCCATGGATAGATAAAACGAAAGAAATGTTGTTTAAATAAAAATTTAAAGCTCGATAAAAAGGCATGCAAGCGAACGCTTTAAAGAATGACTCAAATTTGCATATTAAAATTATTTTCATTGGCTAGCTAAACCGTGTGGTGTAATTTTCATATCATAAATAATGATTTTAATTATTTTTCGCTATTATTACTATTTTTATCAAGGATTTAGTGTTTATTACCTCAATTTTGGACAATTAAAATATGCAAGTATCAGAGTCATCAACAATCAATTCTGTCATCGTTTGCTTTTGTGAATGGAATAAATACCCAAATATTGCCATTTCTTATAAGCATCGGTTGTTCAGTGGTAGAATGCTCGCCTGCCACGCGAGCGGCCCGGGTTCGATTCCCGGCCGATGCATTTCTTTTTTTTTTACAATTTTTAAAACTCATTTATATTAGTATCGTTTTTTTGTATCATTTTGTTCGAAGAACAAACAGGGTCTTCTTGTAGTGTATAAACACGCTATGTATTTGATTATGTTATAACTCGTTTTTGTTATTAATTGGCGATTTATTGTCGAGTGTTTTCTCTTGTTGAAGGGAATTCATGCCTGGTAGCTAGAGATTTATGAAATAAAATATTTTAAAATAAACTTATATCCCCGGAGAGAATTCTGATATTTTCTACTTAATACGGATAAAATGTTTCATTCTTCAATTGCAGATTGAAACATTTACATATACATAATCTGCAATTGAAGAATATTTGAGGGATAGTCTTTTGCCTAACTTCAATCTTCTTCTTTTTTTTTTGCTTATCCCTAGTACACGTGGTACAGGCCATGATAATCAAGGAGGGTAGTTAGCGACTGCTTTTACTGTAAGCGCACCACATGTCTTCTTCAATTGCAGATGATTTGAGGGATAGTCTTTTGCCTAACTTCAATCTTCTTTTTTTTTTTTGCTTATCCCTAGTACACGTGGTACAGGCCATGATAATCAAGGAGGGTAGAAGAAGGTGACTGCTTTTACTGTAAGCGCACCACATGTCTTCTTCAATTGCAGATGATTTGAGGGATAGTCTTTTGCCTAACTTCAATCTTCTTTTTTTTTTTTGCTTATCCCTAGTACACGTGGTACAGGCCATGATAATCAAGGAGGGTAGTTAGCGACTGCTTTTACTGTAAGCGCACCACATTTCTTCTCCAATTGCAGATGATTTGAGGGATAGTCTTTTGCTTAACTTCAATCTTATTTTTTTTTGCTTATCCCTATTACACGTGGTACAGGCCATGATAATCAAGGAGGGTAGTTAGCGACTGCTTTTACTGTAAGCGCACCACATGTCTACACATGTGAAAAGCAATTCGACTTTGCACTTACAAATATACCAGAGCACCGTTTGGTTACTTTCACTCGCTGTTGGGGTTGGACTTTTGAGAGAATCGGGGGCTATTGGAGCATTTTTTTTTAAACAGAAAAAAAGTGTCCAATGCGGGAATCGAACCCAGGTCCTAGTGGTCGAAAACCAAACGGTTTAACCAGCCTTCCACCGATCCCCTCAATCTTCTTTAATTACTTGATTCGTTAATATTCAACGAGGTTTCGATTATTTATAACAACGATTGTTATTTAGAAATGTCGGTAACTGTTCACCGTATCAGCTAATTCTGGTCATAATCATTTTTATAGGTTTCTTTATCAGCAAATTGTTCATCTTTAAATTTCCTTAAATAATAATATAACACGACGTGAAATTGGGTAATAATAAGTGACTCCTACCTTATCAGTTTATTAACCAATTATTTATGATAAACAGGAAAATTTCTTAGATTTTTTTTTATTGACAATTATTTTCTTTTATTCTTTTGTGTTATAAAGATAGAGATGTTTTCTTATCAAGAGGTGTACGTCATATTTCTAAAAATTATTTTTAAAATGATTTTAAAAGCCGCATTTTACGCGTGATATTTTTCACAAAGATTGATATTTTTATTTATATAGTTTGTGTGTTTGCCGTTTTTTAGATTTAACGAATTTGAACAAAAGCTACATAATATACCTCATATTGATGTAAGTTTTCCTGTCCCAATACCGAATCCAATAATGATATAAAACTAACAGGCATATGGCATTTAAGAACAAGATTCTAAAGTCTCAATTTTCTTCATTAAAAGCTTTTATTTAACTTGCTTCCTGTCTGTTCGTCTGTCTGTCCACAAATCTTACAATCGATTTTTAATATACTTTTAGAGCATGTAGGAATCTGTAATTTGGTATATTTCAGAACCCGATGACAATGCAAGTTGGCAATTTTTCAGACTTCTGGGTTGTCAGGGTGGC